ATTCTGTAGCATTACCATTGCAATATTGTCCTTTCCTAAACTTAATGTGACTGACTATCCACCCATAATCCCCTTCGTAACAAAGATATTTTGAGGTACACTTAGTGGAAAAGATTGCTGGTCAATTCCTAGTAATGTTAATAACAACAACAATTCACAGCAAGTTCTGCCCCACATGAATCTTGGACATGAGTGACGAGAGGTTGACTATGGGAAAGGGAAGTAAGAATATGCGAGGGGATCTGCATCAGTGGAAACCAGCAACCACCAGCATAAGGAAGAGAACTGCACTGGACACCTTCAAGGTGGAGGGATAATGATCATATGTTGCAAAGAGAAGCTGCTGACTGAAGCTGTGGAAGGAAACTTGGCAGTCCTCAATTGAAGGGCTTGGTAATCTGCTTGAGGCATTCTTTCGTAAGAAGTCAAAGTAACAGATGATGATTCACTACAGCTAGTGTTTTACTTTTGGAGGTCAAACTCAGTCTTTAAGGCAACATTCCAAAGGAGCCTCTGGGCCCATAACTTGCAAGGTTGGTTATCCTGGAGAGTGACAATTGTTGCTTGTTCCAAAGCATTAAATACTTGAGTCTTTCACATGGACTCTGACCCACAGCCCCCCACTCCTCTTTCCTCAGATCGCTGCCTCTTCTGCCTTAGAACCTCCCAATTTCACCTGTCCCCAGACTGTCCTCATGCCCATCACACTCATTCCTTCCAACTCCTGCTCCCATCCCTCTGCACAGCATTGGTGCAACAGACTTAATGCCTCCATCCTGATGTGTGCATTGGCACTCCACACCAATCTGTCATAATCAAGCACCACCTTCCAGAATTTCTTGAGCTGAGAGATACTTCAAAAATCCAGACAGACTACAGGTTTTGTAGCTAATCTTGAGGACACAAAGGCACATGAGGAGCAAAGATTGTGCTAGTGCTAACAAAAGAAGGAGACAGATGGAAGATGCTGAAGAAAGTTATGATGTGAAAAGTTCTTAAAGTGGATTTGTACAACCAATGGAAATAGAAGAGAGACCAAAACTTTCAGGAAAGTCCCTGAGGAAACAGTAAGAACAGAAGGAAAACCATAAGTAAAAGAGCTTTAGCCTACAATGGAGTATCTATATTAGATATTTAACCTCCTAAGCAGCTATGGCACAGGTAGTTACAGGTTTATTGTTATTATTATTATACAAATAAAGATTTTTAAGCTACAGGGCTGGGGGCAAACATAACTTCCAGAGAATCACACACACAGTCACTTGACCACAAGAAGTCCTGAAGTTTATCACAGGTTTACCATTTCATAGAAAGCAATGCTTGGAATACAACATCCTCATTATAAAATACTATAGTGAGGATATTTTTTAAATTAAATTCACTTAATAAAGACTTAGTGATACATTTCCAGTAAGTTCTAATCTCAATTCATTATGAGATATATTAAATAAATGCCAAACCACAGTGTTTTCAATTATTACTTTACAAATATACAATTGCCTTATTAAATCTAAATTGACTACAGATTTAATAAATCTTAATTCAAAGCACTGTCATGATTTTTGTTGCCAGACAGATGGAATAAAACTTTTCCATCAAAACACAAAGGCCAAAACTAAAAATAAATAGATAAATAAATAATTAATTCCAAATTAAAAAGAAAAAAAAAACCACAGAACTCTTTGAAGGAAGAAAAGACAATGAAAGAGAGAAGGAAAATATAAAAGCCTATAAAATACTGACAGCTAGTCCTCAATTTCTGGCTATTCAACTTAATTTTCAAAATCCCAAATGCTATATTAAGTTTGTTTTAAAGAGATAAGGCCATATTGGAAGAAAACAAAAAAAAAGTAATGAAAACTATTTCTAAAAAGTCAGAAAAAAATATTTAAAGCAAACAGTGCTGTCCCTGTGGTAATTGAACCCCTCAGCAGACCCTTACAATTGCATTGAATACAATAGTCTCAGAGTCATATGCTCAGCTATACTACATTAGAAATAGTCAAGCCATGATATATTAATGATGTCTTACTATTTTGTAACAGAGTTTAAAAAAAAAAATAGCTTTCTTAATACAGTGAATTTACTACAGGTACTTAATAAATGCTCAATTTATTTAAAAGCTTCTCTTTATCTTGATTTTACTGAAGGCACATGGAAGGGGAAATTACACGTTTAGCAATGTCGAGCCCTCCTGTGAAGAAAGAAGGTGAACCTAAACAAATGGAATAGCCAACCAAAGCTGAAGGGAGCTGTAATTTCTCAACACTGAGTGCTTCCTCCCCCTAAAATTGTAGAAGTTACTATGGATACAGACTAAGTTGAAAGGTTCAAGACAGGCTTGATCCATTAATCAGGCCAATGTTAAACCAACCACCCAGGTGACAGATTTCATCTTACTCTTTAATTCAGTTTTGGCTTTTTTCTCATGAGATTATTTCTTTTCAGAGCAGTTCAGTTCAAAGTCAGTAATTATTAAAATTTCTTGGAAAACTAACAAAGTGTAGCTTTTCTCTTGGGTATTCTTCCACAGAAGAGACTCAACACTTTCCAATTTCATGTCCAAATGTACTGCATTCTCATACTGCAGTGCTCGGGATGAAAAATATCTCCAGCAGGACCTCTACATTGATTTCTAGAGACAAGCAGTCTCACATTACATGAGTCACTGTTACTAGAAAAACAGTCTAGAACCTCTTAGCAAATTCAAGACACACACATACAGCTTACATGTAGAAAAGAAAGCTAATCTTGAAATTCAAAATTTCCATTATTTTAGAGTTGCTGCACTTGGCTGTTGCATTTATTGTGTTACATTTAGCACTGAATATGTTTGGATTTTAAAATCATATCAACATTTTCCACAAATATGTGTTCTATCGCTTGTCTAATAAAAATGGGCAATTTTAACTTATGCAATTCAAGCCCTGTAACTCCCAGAAGGATTTTTAAACAGCCAGAATTTTTCTTATTTTTAGCTGAGAGAGTATTATCTGAGCAATGGAGTCTGTAACTAAGCATACGTAAAAGTATCTAACATCAAGCAGGAAGAAACTTATTCTACTTCTTAAAAATGTTTATTTTAAGTCAACTTCAATCCACATTCAAAATGTCTGTGTGTCCACAATGCAATGTATGTGCCATGCAAGATCACCAAACCAAATAAAAAAAAAAAAAAAGATGTGATTTATAAACACACGAGTTGGCAGTTACACTAAAATAAAAATATACAATACAAAAATCATTGGAGGAGAACCAAAACTGGTCGGTAAATCCAACTGCATCATTGTTCTCACAGGGGGAGACTGTCAAAGGCATGAGGGTGAATTAAGTATCCAGTGCTCAACACATGTCAGCATGGGTTGGACACAATTCACATTTATGCTTTAAAAACTAAACCTGTAATTCAGGGAAAAAGCCACTTTCAGTAAGTGGTAAAAATGAAAAAAGTTATATTGAATTCACCATCCACCTTCTGTAAATAATCTTTTGGTTTGGGGTTTTTTTTTAAAGTAAAGAAAGACTTGTGAGTACAGACTACTTTTTCTATTTCCTAAGCACAGTACAGGCTAATACAGATAAACTAATCTATTTCCCAAAGTTGTGACTATATTTAAAAACATTTTTACATAGGCAAGTTTTTACAGCACGGTTTTGAAAGGTTTAAAGTGGGCAAGTTGCTGAATTCATGAACATGTTATGAAAATGAAGGCCAAAATCCTAAACTAATTTACAGAAGGGATACATAAACCGTATACTGGTCTCATTTAATTTTTCATCAAAATCTAGCCACCTGGTATAGATTAGGCAGCACTTGGCAATATTACACAGCAGCTGGGGACACAACCTGAAGAATACCATATCTATGGAGCCTGCACAGGGAATGGGGAAAGAGAGTCAGGACGTCATTCCATGGGCTGGGACAGGTCCAAGCATGGCTATGAGTGCTCATCATCCAGCTCAGATTGCCACGGACTGACCTCACACAGGTCTGAAGATCATATGTGATGCAAAAGCCAGCACCCACTTTCTCACAGTGTGGTGCATCCCAGTGACATGTCACAGTACTGAGGGGTAGAATGCCGCTCATGGAACAGACACTTGTTTATTCCAGGAAGCAAAGTAAAGCTATTTCTCACTTCAGGTTCCTAGGTTCAGTGATCTAATTCTGGTTAGACTGTCACAGACACACACACACAAAAAAAAACGCCTTAAGTATGAATTAGAGGTAATAACAACGATTAATAATCCATATGGGTAATACTGCACATATGAGCATATGGAAAACTCAATATGAATCAGCACAACTGCCAGACAGCAATGAAATAATGTGCAGAGATACCAGAGCACTTGTTGATTTTAACAGTTGTGTTTCTAGGCACAAACATGCAAACAGGGAATCTTGTTGCACATTAGCAGGTTGTAAATTTGCAAATAAAATGCAGTACTAAAAGTGAAAGGTTGGTTGTTTGGTTTTAATAGTACATCTGTTTTATTAAAATAGCAACACTTATATATTAAAGTATGTCTGGTGCGAGGTGTCTGGTCACATGAAATTTGTATGGGAATAAAAAGCATGACAAGAAGCCCACCCATACTTTAGTGTATGTACTGACTAGTACCTACATGAGGTGCTGTTAAATTAATGCTTAATCCTTTTTATTTTCATATAGTGGGAATTTGTTTGTTAAAATTAGGAATATCTGCTTAGGTCACCATTCTTTCCTCAACTTCCCTTTTAACTAAAGCAATAAAATCAACAAAAATAATCATAACAATAAAAACTAGGCTAATGCATCAACTATTTAATCTGCTGAATGTTACATATCTTGGAATGAGTTGGGATGTTCTTTAGCAAAGAAGTTTTATGATGATCTTGAGACATCTGTGGAAATATCACTATGTTCCACAACATATCATTTTAAAAACTGAGCATGAGTTATGGCCTTCCTACAACAGTGAATGTAAGGGTTCAAAAAAAAAAAAAAACAACAACTCACTTGAACATCTGTTCATATCTGGCGTTCGAAGTCCGTAGTACCCCGATGGGCAGGAATGCAAGCATTCACCATACTGTCTCATTCCTTCTCTTCGTAGGAAGAAGAATAACTTGTGTTGGCATCTGATGCATCCATTATCCTTTGAACAAGATAAACAACCTTTGCAAATTGGATTTGGTCCATAGCTAGCTGCAAAATAAGAAGATAAATTGTATTTTGAGATCATTTGGAAATTATTTTGGCTAGAGGTTCTCTTCTCTCTGAAGTGTTACTTATCTACCACATGGTTACAAATAGTTTTGAGAGGAAGTTTCTGAAAGTGCACTTCACTCTCATACATCTGCACTGGCAAGTGAATAAAGAGAACTGCAATCTCTAAATTTTTTATTGTACATAGGGCAATTTAATGAATTTACACACATTGAAAATAAAAGTATCAGCAAGCAGAGACCAAGCTATATAAAGTTCACTAGTGTAACTCAAGTAAAACCCAGGTGCTGAATTCTAGTTTGAAGCTAGGAACATAAGTACACAACAAGAAAATATATGAACAAGAGCACACTGATACATGCACTTGGAATGACATGTTCATGGAAATCCAGCAACCACACTGCTGTAGTTTCTGACTTGTGAATATTTAGAGAATTCTCTGCAGAACAGGTACAGCACTAGCAATGCTGTCCCATAGCTCTCAGGGTCCAGTCCTAGGGCAACTCTCTTCTTGCAGCCTTTTCTTATCTTTCTAAGAAGAACATCAAGACAATTATTTCCAAGAAAAGAGTAGCAGTTTTAACTTCCAGGAGCCTTTTTCTACAAGTTTCTACCAAAATGGGCTGAAAACAATCTGCGCAGACATTATTGAAGGAGATTACCATTTTAGGTCACCAGTTGCTGTGACTTCAATTCTATTCTCAAGTTCTGGTTTTCTTTCCCCCCTTTTGTTTTTTTATAATTACTTGGCTGACAACTGCAACACAAACCTCAGCTGCATTACTTTTGCCCTTATGAGCTTTTATTATCCCACCTTTCCACAGAGTCACCAAACACTGCCTTGTCCCCATAGGCCGTCAACTCCTCAAGCCCTGAGTCAGCACAGCAGGTTAGCAGAGAGAGGATGGCTCATGACATTCTTGGAAACAGCATAACTTAACAGGTCTGGTTTAAATATTAAATTGGTTACAGGACTTCACAGAAATTTGCCAGTTCAAACTCTGTTTATTGGAAAGAAAACAAAAAAATACCATACAACAGAAGGAAAGTGTCTTTGGGGTCTCAAGAGCTTTTTAACAGAGCAGCTAGCTAAAAGAACAAGGACTATGTCTAATGGTTATATTTTTAAAAGCTTAGAAGTATTCACGCCCTAACACAGTACTCTGGTACTTTTATCTTGTATGGATGGATAATTGAGGCTGTTCAATGGAAGACTTTGCCAGCAGAGCCAGGAAAAGAAAAAGCCCATCACCCTCTGGAACCGGTAGCTGATAAGCTTTACTCTCACCTTCACACATCTGCACACCACATTCCCACTCCCTCTCTGTTCCCGTCCCCCACACATGCCACACCAAATTCAGCCCAACAGCATTCAACTCTGATCTTGTACAAAATAATCCTAGTGGGTGGCAGGCAGGACAAAAAGGCAAGCAATCATTGTGAAACAGCTCAGCCAGTGGGACACTTTGAGTCCTGAAGTCCTCTGGCACCAGGCTCACACAATGAGAACCATTTAATGGGAATAGCATCCTTACCCTCTAGGGTATGATTCTTTGCCTCTCTGATAACCCTTATGTAACAAGGCTTCCTATCAGATCAACAACTGCCTTATACTACTAAACCAGTTCCCATCTCCTGTTGCCCACAAGACTTCAGATATAACTTTTCCCTACATTCCATGTCGCTACTCTTCTCATTCACAATCCACATCTTCAAAGACATATAAGATGAGAAACAAACAGATGATGAGCTAGGAGTGGATACATCCTTCATGTCACTGTCAGCAGGGAATTGCCTATCTGTAACCACATCAAATAATGTGACCACGTACTCCGAAACAATTGTTGCTTAACACATGGTGGGCAATCCTGTAGTCTTCTGAATCTCTTTTTAGTCCCCTTGGATCTCACTCTTAGTAAATCTGTACCTCCAGCTTGTTCAAGATTCCTCAGAGAAGCCTGTACTATACAAAAGAATTAAATAGAACAAAGCAGTGAAGATGCAAGATGCCTGATTTGTCATTCAAACACTTTTCTTTGGAGTTTCAATCAGCTGAAGTAGATCTCATATACAGCATGTGCACAATTACAACTCTAGGGCCAGGCCAACCACTGAACAGCATGGTTACAGCTAAAGGTGACTATATATATGAATATATATATACACAGATATAACTAAAAGCTATACAACAGCAGGCCTGCTGGCAACAGACAAGGTACCAGGGTACACCTGTCTCAAAGGGTAAAAAGATCTTTGCACAGGAGTTAGCAGGGCTCCCTGAAAGAGCTTTAAACTGTATTTGAATGGGGAAAAGCATAAAACCAGGCTCACTAGATAAGTCTGGGGGCAGCACACCAATGTTTATGTGCTAGCTGAGGTCCTTCAGTGTACCACAATCTCAGTGGAGGTAGGGGATTGAGATCCATGAGGCAGCAGAGAAGCAAGACTTAATGATGTGTTAGAAATCACAAAAGCGTCTGAGAATGGTCACATAGCAATTAAGGCTTTTCCCCCCAGAACAGCGGCAGAATCAATGGCCCAACTGAAGTGCATCCATACCAATGCACATGGCATGGTAAGCAAACAGGAGAAGCTGGAAGCCACTGTGCAGCAGGAAAACCATGACATAGTTGCCATCATGGAAACATGGTGAGATGACTCAAACAACTGGAGTGCTGTGATGGATGGCTATAAACTCTGCAGAAAGGATAGGCAAGGAAAGAGAGGCTGTGGTGGAGCTCTGTGTGTTAAGGAGTGTTTTGATAGTCTGGAGCTTGACAGTATGGTTGAGCGTTTCTGGGTAAGAATCAGGGGAAGGCCAGCAAGGCACATATCATTTTGGGAGTCTGTTATAGAACACCCAACCAGGATGAAGAGGCAGACAAAATATTCTGTAAGCAGCTGGGAGAGATCTCTCAATCGCTAGCCCTTGTTCTCATGGGGGACTTCAACTTGCCAGATGTGTGCTAGAAATACAATACAGTAGAGGGAAAACAAACTAAGAGGTTCCTAGAGTGTGTGGAAGATAACTTCCTGACACAGCTGGTGAGTGAGCCAACTATGGAAGGCATCCCACTGGACCTGTTGTTTATGAACAAAGAAGGACTTCTGGGTAATGTGATGGATAGAGGCCATCTTGGGCATGGCAATCACAAAATGACAGACTTTTCAACTCTTGGAAAAGTAAGGAGGGGGGCCAGTAGAACTGCTACTTTGGGTTTTCAGAGGGCAGATTCTGGCCTGTTCAGAAGCCTGGTTAACAGAGTCCCTTGGGAGGTACTCCTGAAGGGCAAAGGGGTCCAGGAAGGATGAACATTCCTCAAGAAGGAAATCTTAAAGGTGGAAGAGCAGGTTGTCCTCATGTGCCAAAAGAGAAGTCAGCAGGGAAGACAACCAACTCGCCAGGTCCTGACCTTGGGTCGCAACAACCCTGTGCAATGCTACAGGCCTGGGGAAGAATGGCTGGAAAGCTGCTCAGTGGAAAAGGACCTGGGGGTGTTGCAGACATTTAATTATGCTGATTACTCTGAGCTTCAGCTATAGCTTTGTCCTAACATACTCTCACATGAAAAGGAGCTAACAGAAAAAATGATGCTCCATTATCCTGTGTTATCCTTTTTTTGGCGATGGATGGCACATCTTTCACAGCTTAAGGTCAACACAAGATATATGAAGGAGTTGAATAATACAGTAATTTTGTAAGTTGCATACATTTATTCCAAAATTTTCATGTGTGTGGAGGTTCCCCAAACCATGACATCTAGCCTCTCTTATCTCCTGACCAGCCTTAAAAAATTATGTGCAATTTCTATGCTTGCATTTTTTTTCCCCTGTTACAGAAACACTGGGAGATTCAGTTCATCAGAACTGTAACTCACTCATTGACTTTGGATAACAGAGTTCAAGATGGTCACACAGTTAATGGTCACATAGTGATGACTTGTTCTTCTAGTTGATTAGGTTATAACAAAAAAAATAAAAATGCATCAGATATTTTTATTTTTTTTAATCACACTAAGGAAAAAAACCCACTAAAGGATTATACAACGATAGGGACGTAAGGGGAAATAAAACGATTTATATGATGCAATACAGCCAGTGAACTTTATGAAATAATCTGAAAAGTTTCCACTGTGCTGCTCAAGCATGACATTGAAAAATTTCCAAGTATTTTGCATACAGTAAGTTACCATGAAGTATATCACAGAACTGGTGGTCTTCCACATTGTTGTTCCCTGTATTCTTTTCAGAGCTTCATGGGAAGCATACTGACTTCTGTGACAGTTCAACATGACCCAGTGCAGGGAAAATCTTGGTACAGTCTACTACTACATTACCTAGATACTGAACAAATACTTCAACAAATCAAGTACCACAGCACTGGTTTCAGCGTCATCAGCAAGCCATGTTGAAGATACCAACTTAACTTTCTCTCTTTGCCCCTACATACACAGGCTATCATTAAATCCTACTGAATCTCCCCTGCCCCAAAGTCTTCCCTTTCTATCTTGGCTTCTTAACATAGCAAATACAACACATTCTTATCACATACAGCTTCTTCAATTCTCATGTAATTCCTCTTTGAAGGAGGAAGCCAGTGCGTGTGTTCAACATAAACACCTATACACTTCCTTTCAAATTTCTTCATAATTTTCTTTTTTTTCTGTATTAGTCTGTAAGAAAAAATAGCAAATTTACAAAACATGGTCAATCACATTCCAGGTATCCAGCTGCAACGCATGCAATGCAGAACATCACACGACTCATCCCTGTTTTGACCCTGCCTGTAACACCCTCCTCCCTCAACCGTGTGTGCCAGGCAGACAGGTTTCCTCCAACTAAATCCCTCATGGAAACTCGCTCCTTCCACAGGGCCTACAAATGTTAACCAGCATCAGAGCGCTGCTGTCGTCACATCATAAAACTGAAAATGCACACATGCTCCAAGTCAGCACCATCCTCTGGGTCTCACAGTACAG